TGCCCATCTGTTCCGCAGTCTTCTTCCACAGCTCACTTGTAAATCGGACGTCTCGGTCACTAATAATGGTCTTTGGTAAACCAAAGTCCCTTACCCAGTTGTCCTTGAACAACTTGATGACATATTTTGTCCTGGCTATCTCTGGCATTGGTATTAGTCTAGCGTACTTGGTGAATCGGTCAATGATGACGAAGATGTGCCTCTTACCAATCTTGCTGGTCACAAGAGTGTCCATGAAATCYATGGAAACACTCAATCCTGGACCATCAGGAATAGGTAAAGGCTTCAATAACCCAAGCGGTGCTTGAGCTCGCGGCTTGTCCCGCTGACAGACTTGACAGGTCTCAAAATACTTCTTTTCGTCATCTAACATTCTGGGCCACCAAAATCGCTGTACTAAGTTAGCACTCGTCTTCTTGTAGCCAAAGTGCCCGGTTGCGTCATGAAATTCTCCTAAAAATAAACTACGCAACTGTTCACAAGATGGAACGACCAATCTCTTACTCCGGCCTTATCAAGATAGATTAAGCTCGCGGCTTGTCCCGCTGACAGACATGACAGGTCTCAAAATACTTCTTTTCGTCATCTAACATTCTGGGCCACCAAAATTGTTGTACTAAGTTAGCACTCGTCTTCTTGTAGCCAAAGTGCCCAGTTGCGTCATGACTTTCTCCTAAAAATAAACTACGCAACTGTTCACAAGATGGAACGACCAATCTCTTACTCCGGCCTTATCAAGATAGATTAGTCCATCCACCATCACAAACTCACTTTCTGTAACCTTGTCTTTTGCCTGAACTTTGCGAATGATGTCCATCGTGACAGGGTCTTCCTGATAGGCTCCCACCAATGATTGAGTTACTTCATTAGATACGCCAAATTAAGAAACTAGCGCACCTAGGTAGTCTGCTCTACGGGATAGCGCGTCTGCAACCTTGTTGTACTCCCCCTTCAGGTACTCAAGCTTGAAGTCATATTGGTCAATGACCTCAATCCATCGCTTGAGTGCATCAGAAAGAGCTGGTTGAGTCTTGATCCATTTGAGGGTCTGATGATCAGTCCTCAGATAGAAGAACCTTCCCAAAAGGAAGTGTCTCCAATGGATAAGTGCCTTGTAGAGAGCATAGAGTTCCCTTTCGTAGGTGGACTTAGCCAACTTCTTCGATGGCATCTTCTTACTCATGTACTCAATCGGTCTCAACTTTTTCCTATCCTGCTGAGCCAGCACTGCGCCAATGTCGTATTGGCTTGCGTCAGTGGTCACTATGAATGGCTTCTGCGGATCAGGAACCATGAGAACTTCATGATTCATGAGTGCATGCTTCAATCTCTTGAAAGCACCCTCGCACTCATCACTCGAGTCCCACGGTGTGTCAAGTCGAGTTAGATCAGTCAAAGGAGAGGCGACTGTAGAATAGTTCTTAACGAAGTTCCTATAGTAGCCGCACATTCCTAGGAATGATCTGACCTGTCTGAGGTCGTGGCCAATCTCGAATACTAGCCACCTTCGCATCTTCCGGCCTAATTCCTTCCGCGGATACTTCATGACCCAAGTATAGTATCTTAGTGCGACCGAATTCACATTTCTCTAGGTTGACCTTATACTTGTGCTGTCGTAGGAGTGAGAGAACTGTCTCAACGTGCTTTGCGTGCTCCTCGGCAGACTTACTAAAGAAAGTAGACCACGACAAACTTATCTAAATGGTCATGGAAGATCCGATTCATAGCGTGCTGGACAAAGACCAAAGGGCATCACTACAAACTCATACAGACCATAACGAGTCTGAAAAGTTGTCTTGTGTTGATCCTCAGGTCTTATGGCGATCTGGTGATATCCGGATTTCAAGTCTATCTTACTATAATACTTGCATCCCCGCACTCTATCCAATAGGTCGTCTATGCGAGGTAGAGGCTCTGCGTTCTTCACAGTGATGGCATTGAGGCCTCTATAGTCAATGCACATTCTCAAAGTACCCCCCTTCTTTGGTACGAATAGCACGGGTGATCCGTAAGGGGAAGTACTAGGCCGAATCCATCTCTTCTCTGTCAGCTCCTTGAGTTGTTTCCGAAGTTCATCTAACTCGGTAGGGGCCATCCTATAGATCCTTCCCTTTGGGGTCTTACTCCCTGGAATGATTTYTATAGCGTGGACGACTTCCCTATCGACAACTCCTGTGGGCTCCTCGAACAGATCAGGGAACTGAGCAACGACGAGTTCTATCTCTGGGGGTGTTTTAACGGCCTCCCCTTTCTCCGAGACATAAACAAGGTACATCCCTTCCTCTTGGTTTTGCTTGTAGTAATTGTAGAACGCTGATGCGCACAAGGAGCCATAGGTATCTATAATACTACTGGCTTTGAACTTGGTCAATCTGACAGTTCGGCCATCGGGCAACTTGTGTTTGAGCACCTTCTTATCCCAGTCGAACTGGGGCTTAGCAACTTCGAGGTAGTACATGCCTAACAGCATATCGAATGGCAAGTCGTCGCTAACCAAGAACAAGATCTTATGGTTAAGCTCACCTCCTCCATAGGAGAAGGTACAAACTACGTCCTTGATGTAGTCGGTCACTATCATGCGCTCCTTGTTTGCCAAAGAAGATGCTACAGGTCTACTAAGGTGTCGTACCCAGTCCTGTAGGTGCAGCCTTTCYAAACAGTCGCGACTTATGTAATTTC